AGGGCTTGTTGTTTGTCATTTCTCAAATGCCTCGTTTATATTTGGTTTTAATGTTTTTGTCTCTTCGCTCCGGCCGGGACACTGCATCACAGTATGGTAAGGGGCGTAACATTTCCGTCACACGCTTGAGGTATCCGGCCAATCACAACGCACTGGATAGCTGGCCAATCAGAGTACACCTCGCTTTTCAGACCGATGAGCTTTGTAAAAATCGACGCGTTTCAGAAAGGTGGGGCATAGAGGAGAAACAATAATGTACAGTATGTGGAAAATAATGTGTTTTTTGAACCTTAAACCACATAAACACATTTCATTACACCAAATACACAAAATAATGTTATTTTTAGCAACATCATATGACCCCTTTAAAGAACCTTGTACATGCACAGACAATATGTATGACACATAGGTTTTGTAAATGATTGTTCCTTTGTAGGAACTTCTGCTAGCTGAGAAATGGGCACGAATGAACAAACTTCCATTTCCCAAGATCGACCCAAAGGTGTTTGATCGGGAGGGGATGAAGGAGTGTTATGTATTTAAGCCCAAACAAGGAGAAAAGAACTGCCCTACTATTATCCATTTTGTCCTGGTCAATATTGAATTCAGGACGTTCAAAGCTCCAGGTGTGTGTTCTTTGTTTGTGTTTGCGTCTGTGTACTTAGGGATTTTTTTTATGAAAAAGTCAGCTCTGCATATGCAGATTTATAGTCAATTCCGACAAATTCAGGGAATTCTGTGAAGGGAAATTCAGGATTGTGTTTGACTCTTTAATGAGCTGGTTGATTTACATTCCTGTTTATGTAATGCATGAAGTGGGCATGATTCTTCATAAAGTATGAATCTTATATGCTTTGAAAAGTTAATTTGGATGTTTTAATAATAAGATGTTTTATACAAAAGTGTGGTGTATTTTAAAGGGGTTCCACGTCAGATGGACAAAGAGAGAGAATTTGCAGACTTTGATATCTTCGATGACCCAGAGACACCCTACTCAACCTTCAATTTTCAGTATTCCAATCAAGCCTTCACCCAGCTACATGATCTTATGGAATTCAACACGCTTAACAACATAGAGGTCAGTTCAGCTCAGATACTTTCTGATTTATATGTTTTTTATATTAGCATTCCACTTAAATTAGATTGATAGTACTACTTTGTTCTCACAGTTTCAATGGGAAACAATATTTTAAAGAATAATGTTTGTAATGTATTACAATTAGGTGTAGCTGATATCATTTTTGTGTGGGTTTGTTCGAATCAGTTTCTGAATTCTCAGTTTCTTTTGCTTCATGTTTAGGCTTGTTTATGCAAGTCAAGTTTTTAAATCCTTTATCATCATTATTATCTAGGTCATCAAAGAAGGCATAAAGGACAGTATCTTGTATAGGAAGGAGACTCCATCTCGCTGCTCTGCCTCTCTTTCTCTCAGTCAAGTACAAAACAAAAAACACCTGAAGAGGGTGTCCAAAGGACATGCATGCCAATAAGTATGCAGAGTATGATGGCATTCTAGCCACAGGAAGTTTACAGATGTCACACATCTCATCATGGAAACACTTTTTTAAAACTGAAAAACAACTCCACAAATTGTGAAACCAGATGATCTGGTTTGGTTCCCAGAACATTCTCATGTAGCCTTTTAATAATAAAAAGAGAAGTGGTGAGTGACACAATGAAATTACCATTTACAGCCTAATTGTTGACATTAGGTTGTGCAGGTGTTTTAGTTTTTCTAGAAATAAATTGTGTGAACTTCTATTAAGATACATAATGTCTATTTAAAGTGCAGAGAGATTTACTTCTTGTCGTTAGTTCACCCAAAAATAAATTTTTGTTATCATTTACTCACCCATATGTAGTAATTTTTTTATTCTTCTGCAGAGCATAAAAATATTTTGAAGGTCACTGGGGTCCAAAAAACATTGACCTTCATTGTATAGACGAACAAACACTTTTCTAAATATAGTCTTTGGTGTTCTACAGAAGTCAGGTTTGGAAAAACATGAGGGTGAGCAAATGACAACAGAAGTTTCTTTTTTGGTTGAACTGTCCTATTCATTACAAAATTATATTTTTTGATAATAATAATCAAAACAATCCCAAGGATGTGACCAAAAGCACCTTTGGGCTTTTGGTGTGTTTGTTTATGTTTTAATGGCAACTGCTAAAACAACATCATATGAGTCCTGATTTATGTTTTATGAACTGAGGGTGTGCCTCAACAAAAGAGCAACATCCTGAGGTACAAAACAAAACATGAAACCATGGCAATGTCACTGCTATCTTGCTTTAGTCAGTTGAACGGGTGTTTATTTTAAGTTATCGCTTAGATGCAGAGGTAGTTTTTCTTTTGAGCTGTATCATTTCCCTTTACCCTTAACAACTACTGTCCATTAGTATGTGAGTGAAAGGGAAAAGAAAAGTAGGCGTTTGTTAATCCTCAAACTAACACTTCGATATCAGGATGACATTATGCACCTTTTTTCACAAAGTACAATGGTAGATCATGAAGGTAGCACAAAAACACTGACTTTATAAAACTGACTCCACTATACTTGCGGCAACAGTGAACTTGATATAAACTATTGAGTAATGGCTGTTTAAGATATAAATGTCATGCTTTTTGGCACTTTTTTGGGATTTATTGACAAGGTCATCAGCAGTTTGTGTATTCATTTAGTATTTATTTGTATAACCATGAATACTTATGTTAGAAGTGTATAATGTTTTATTACAAAGCGTTTGAATGCATTGTTTACACATAATATAACATCTTAAGATGGTGATGGAATAATAAATCAGGCTTTAAATATGTGAACAATGATTTATTGTCCTTATATTGCATCTCAATGTCACCTTAGTCAAAACCAACGTGTTTTGAGACAACATACCTTTGCAAAGAGTTAAGGCATTATGTCCTATATAAGAGGATCTGTTTTTAGTTACATTTTAGGCTATATGTTAAAAAAACATCTAAATACTTCTAGATTCACATATTCATGGTTGGCACTGATCTACTTTAGTCTCATTTTTCATGATCACTTAAAATCATACTGATAGTTTCAAAACATACCATAGTAGTAATATTATGTTCCAATACGTATATGGGCCATTCTACAGAATTGGTTTGTGGCGAGGGGGGCGTGGTTTAGCGGAGTCTGCAGCGGGAGAGAGCGGTCGGAGACGAGCGGTGAGTAAGTAGGTCAAGTGCAAAATGACATTCACCTGCTTCTCGTTTCAGTGATTGGCCTGGAGAGACCGTAAAAGGCCTCAGGGGAAACAGAGAGAGGGAGATGAGACAGACTGAGGACTCGTGGGGGAAAAGACTGTGGCCTGGGCCTAGAGAACCGCAGAAGTGCTATATAAGTTTTGTTTGTTTTGCAGCGCCTGAGCGCCTGCCTGTTTTCGCTGTTCCTACGGGAAGTATAATAAATTACCCGAGCCTCAGTCACGCTGACTCCGACTTCTTCCTTCCCTACTAAGAACCTCATTACACTGGTGCCGAAACTCGGGAAGGAAGAAGCCCGGCCGCTGCCATCATGCAGTCACCGCCAAGTTCGCCGTTTGCGGAAGTGCTCCAATCGCTCGCCGGCCTCCACCAAGAGCAGCATCAGGCGTTGCTGGAGATGCGGGACGACCAGGAGCGTCGTTTCCGCGCGCTGATGCAGGCGCAACAGGAGGACCGGGAGCTGTTCCGGAGCTGGGTGGACCAGGAGGGTCGGGCAGGAGGGCCGACATCGAGGACCACCGTCGGCCCCTCTCTCTGCCCCTGAACAAAATGGGACCACAGAATGATCCAGAGGCTTTCCTCGACCTCTTTGAGAAGTCGGCCGAGGCATGTGGGTGGCCACGAGAGCACTGGCCAGTGCGTCTTATAACGCTGCTTTCAGGGGAGGCGCAGGTGGCGGCCCAACAACTGCCCACTCAAAACCTCCTGGTCTTCACCGATCTGAAGCGAGCTATCCTGCAGCGGGTCGGCCGGAGCCCAGAACAACATCGTCAGCGGTTTCGCTCGCTGGATCTGGGGGAAAGTGGCCGGCTGGTGGACCAGGAGGGTCGGGCAGGAGGGCCGACATCGAGGACCACCGTCGGGCCCTCTCATCTGCCCTTGAACAAAATGGGACCACAGGACGATCCAGAGGCTTTGCTCGACCTCTTCGAGAGGCCATCCAGTTGGCGGAGGACCAGATGGTGGCGTGCCCAGGAGTCAGCGAATCCCTGCCGGCGGTCTCTCTCTCTTTCTCGTCTCCTAATGTTCCCTCTTCCCCCCTGTCCTGTTCCCTTTCCTAGGTCCCGTCCGCCGGGCAGGGGGGCCGCCATCCCGAAACCCACCTGCGCCCGCGCATGTGCCCCTGAATAAAATGGGGCCCCAGGATGACCCCGAAGCTTTTCTCGACCTGTTTGAGAAGTCAGCGGAGGCCTGTGGATGGCCAAAGGAGCACTGGCCAGTGCGACTCATCCCTCTGCTCTCAGGGGAGGCGCAGGTGGCGGCCCAACAGCTGCCCGTCCAGAACCTCCTGGTCTTCGCCGACCTGAAGCGAGCCATCCTGCAGCGGGTCGGCCGGAGCCCAGAACAACATCGTCAGCGGTTTCGCTCGCTGGATCTGGGGGAAAGTGGCCGGCTCTTCGTGTTGGCTCAGCAGCTCCGGGACGCATGCCGCAAATGGCTGCTGGCCGGGGGAAGCGACGTTGAGCAGATCCTCGACCGTGTGGTGTTGGAGTAGTTTATCGGCCGTCTCCCGAAGAAGACAGCTGAGTGGGTCCAGTGCCACCGCCCGGCGTCGCTGGACCTGGCCATCCAGTTGGCGGAGGACCAGATGGTGGCGTGCCCAGGAGTCGGCGAAACTCTGCCAGCTGTCTCTCTCTCTCTCTCTTCCCCTAATCCCTCTGTTCCCTCTCGACCTGTCCCTTTTCCCAGGTCCCGTCCGGGTCTTCTCCCCCGAGTGCAATGCCGTTCTCTCCGCTCTCCCCACGCCAGTCCCTTGACTGGCCCCACTTCCTGCCACTAGGGCGGCGGGGAAGTCTGGGCCGGCCTGTTGGCGTTGCGGGGACCCCGGACATTTCATTGACCGGTGCCCGGTGATGGAGGTCGGGGCACTGATCCGGGTCCCGGACGACCCACAGGCTGCCCCCGATCAAGCTGGCCGGTACCAAATACCTGTGAGTATTAAGGGGGGTACCGATCTCGCTTTGGTGGATTCGGGGTGTAACCAAACCTCGGTCCATCAAAGCCCGATTCAGCTCGAGGCATTGGATAGAAGCCGCATGGTTCCACTGAGCCGGGGGAACGGAGCGCGAATGAGAGGCTAATCCTCTCTGAACGTGATGATTTCCCCCTGGAACAGTCCCAGGATGAGTCCCTAAAACGGGCATTTGAACAGGTTCAGACCATCGACGGTCAGCCTCTCCATCCCGACCGTCTGCTCTCGTATCCCTATTTTGCTGTTTTAAAAGAGTGGTTGTACTGAGTGACACAAGACACTCAGACAAAGCAGGATACAACCCAATTGTTGGTACCTAAAAGCCGTCGGGAAATGCTTTTCCAGGCGGCTCATTGTAATCCAATGGCGGGACATTTAGGACAGGCAGCGACACTAAATCGTCTCATGGCCCGATTCTTTTGGCCGGGCATTCACGAGAATGTGTGCAGGTGGTACGCGGCTTGTCGTGAATGTCAGCTGGTAAACCCACTGGCCTCCCCAAAAGCGCCTTTGCGCCCTCTTCCTCTAATGCAGGCCCCCTTCGAAAGAATTGGTATGGACCTCATCGGGCCATTAGAGCGATCGGCACGCGGGCATCGCTTTGCATTAGTCCTAGTGGATTATACAACAAGATACCCTGAAGCAGTCGCGCTTCGCAACATTTCGGCGAAAAGTGTGGCGGACGCGCTGTTTCGGTTAATCTCCCGAGTGGGAATCCCAAAGGAGATTCTCACTGATCAAGGCACGGCGTTCATGTCACGTACGTTACGCGAACTGTACGGATTATTGGGCATTAAGTCGATTCGCACCAGCGTCTACCACCCACAAACAGACGGTCTGGTGGAAC